TTGTGATGGCAATGCCACGCAACTTGTAAACCAGAGGCCCTGACTAATGTATTGGGCTACACTAGATCAAATCCCACAAGTTCCAGCTGGTGGAATTTAAAGTCAATTCGTAAATTTTAAATACAAAGCAAGCCTGTGATACGTATGATTGCTGTAAAAAGAAACTCAAATGGTTCATTCATTTCGCTTAAGGGAAGGAAAAATGCAGTCTTTACCCGGCCTGCATAATGTGGCTCCAGACCACAGCACCCTGACTGGTTCTTAACTGACCTCTTGAAATGGCTCTCGCAAGCCACGCAGTTCAATGACAATGAGAGATGGTCTTGCCATATTGTATGACAGAATCAATTGAAAAGAGATGGTGTGGTTCTGGAGGTGTTGGTGTTCCCATATGCATGCTGGCCCTTGTCTTGGTGGTGCTGGAGGTTTAGTCAGTACTACCAAAGAAACCTGGACAAGATACCCACTTTAGGATAACAAGGTGCAGAGCTGGATGAACGCAGCAAGCCAAGTAGCATCATAGGAGCAGGAAGGCTGACGTTTCGGGCCTAGACCCTTCATCAGAAATCCTGATGAAGGGGCCTGTTCCTATGATGCTGCTTGGCCTGCTGTGTTCATCCAGCTCTGCACTTTGTTGTCTCAGATTCTCCAGCATCAGCAGTTCCTACTATCTCTCACCCACTTTAGGATGTTCTTCTTGTCCTCTATTCTCATGGAAATAATTCCAACATATTTGATTTTGTGTTTGCTCATGCTATAGCTTGTTTCTTTCTAGGTCATGCCGAGTTTCCAGTCGGGGAATAGAGGGAAGCAGAGATGCTGAGATTATTGTATGTCCAAGGTCATAAAGTTTCACAGCAGTGGGCTCATTGGAAAAAGTGGGGAGGTGCTCAAAGTTCAAAGTATTGTCATGGTAACATCATTGGATAAAGACAGGGTGGTAGTGGGTGGGCAAAGTCGAGGATTTTATCTGATTTATACAGGCAACACTGACATGGGGCGTGGAGTGCAAAAATGGTTCTGTTTTGCAGTTGTTTTCACCTCTCACCTTACTGCACTGATACAAAGGAAAATAAAGACACACATCAAAGAAATGAAAGGACGAGACCTGTGGATCTCTCATGAGTGACAACAATGACAGGAAGCTTGCTCTGGGCTGTCTGGCCAAATTTAATCTCTTTTTCATTTCTCTATCAGTCCTCCCTTCCCATCCCCAGTGGTCACAATGGCTTTGTCAGTAGTTTCCAGCAGCGCATCCTGCCTCACCGTGCTCAGTCCCTGTTGTCAGAGCATTTCAGTTCAGCCACATCCTGCCTGTCTTTGGCCAGTCCCCATTTACATCTATCAGGTTCACAAAGAAGAATCAGAGGCAGCCCTGTGGCTCAGAGATTAACGCTGCTGCCTCACAGCACCAGGAACCCGGGTTTGATTCCATCCTTGGGCACCTTGAACAGTTCTCAGAGTTCAACTGAGTGCTGAAGATCTGCGATTTTTGAAATAGTTTCTCTTAACAGAATTTTGAAAGGCTTCATCAAGTAAAAACTAGTAATAGCATTGACAAAGGTCCACTTTTCACCTTCAGATATCTTTCTGTATTGCCAGCAATGTTAAAGGACCACAAGCACACAACTGAGCACTGGATATTTTACCCTGAATTGATTTGCTGGAGGATGTTTTGAGAAGGTTTGGTGGTCTATGGGGAATAGTAGGATTAACTGAATGGTCATGGGTGGAGTTTGCACATTCTCCCTGTGCCTGCGTGGGTTTCTTCTGGGTGCTCTGGTTTTATCCCATACAGTCTAAAGATGTGCAGGTTAGCTGGATTGGCCATGAGAAATGCAGAGTTACTGGGGTGGGATGATCTTTGGACGGTCTCTGTGGACTCAATGGGCTGAATGGCCTGCTTCCACACTGTAGGGCTTCTATGACTCTACAGCAAGGATCATGAAATGGTGAGGGTCCCTTTAAACAGTGCTTGGAATCGACACCAATACCATACCAATTTCCTTAGAGCAGGACACTGTCAGGAGACGGCATTAGTTGAAGAACTAGATTGCTGTGAAGTTTATTTAATGAGCATTGGTCAGGAATTTAAGTGGCAGGCAGCTGTTTAGTAAGGAAAGCTTGAGTAGGCTGGGGCTAAACTCATTGGAGTTTCAAAGAATAAGAGGCAACTTTCTTGAAACTTAAGATGCTGAAAGAGCTTTACAGGATAGATGATGAGCTAATATTTCCCTTCATAGGGGAATTTAAAACTATGGGGTGTAGTTTAAAAATAAGGCAGAGATGAAGAGGAATTTCTTCTCTCCAAGTGTCATTAATTTTCAGAATGCTCTTTCCCAGCAAGCAGTGAAGGCTGGATTAGTCAGATTTTTACCTAGCATGGGAGTCAAGGGTTAAAGGAGAACAGGGAGGAAGATGACATTAAAGCCACAATCAGATTAGCCATGATCTTACTGAATGACAAAGCTTTCATCATATTTCTTATGATCTCATTAACAAATCTACAGGCGGCTGCTGGTTTCAACTCTTTTACCAAGATGGTGTCTTGCGCTAAACATAGGCCAAACCAGCATTTCAGCTGAAGACCCCATCTGGTTCTGCCTGGACACTCTGAATGCCTCCAATACTGGATAAAAACCGCTTGCATTGTCTGGTCATTATTGCACTGTTGCTTTTGGGATACTGCTGTATAGAAACTGCCTGTGTTGTTTCCCAAATTGCCTTACCAAAAAAAAAAAAAATTGCCATTGGTTATGAAGTGTTTTGGAACATCCTGAGGTTGCAAATAACAAAGGCGCTATACAAATGCAAGTCTGTAGACCACAAAACTCGCAAACCAAACCAGTCAGAAATTCAAGCTCAAATAGGAGTGAGTTGCCCATGGGCTTAGAGACTGCCTTGCCTTAATCACAGCCTGGACACTCACTGCTCAGCTACACTGTCTATTAAAACAAGTTTACCACTGGGTTAAGACATTTGACTGACACAAGAATATTATAGATTCCTGAGCTTTCCAGACAAAGAAATCCCTGGATTCAGCAGATGGGAGGAAAACTTAATGAGGTTGGTCAATGATGGTTAGCTCTCTCTGTAATTTTAGCTCTGTCCTATTCGCACCTACTGCACACCACAGTGCTGGGATTGGTCTTGTGTTGCACTGTGATTGTACGCTAGGGTGCTGGGAGTTCAGGGGTCACTAATCAACACAGCTCTTCCGACTTTAATTGGTGTCTGAGGACTCGATTAAATGAGGAAAGAAGCAGGCTGTTTCCACAAAACAGTCGTGTAAGGTGAAGAAAAAAAGTGTGTATGCACATGTGTAAGAGGCAGACAGGAAGAAAAGAAAGACAGAGAGAGAGAGGAAGAAAGGGAGGGAAAGAGCCACATTGAGAAGGGAACACAAGAGAAGATGTGGAGACAGAGTGACAGAGATAGAGAGAGAGATAAACAGAATTAGAGATAATAGCAGATAGAACAAGAAAGTAAGATCCAGATAGGTGAATGCTGACATCTGTATACACCACACAAACAGTAACAGCGAAAATTGAAACAACGGTACTCCGAGTTCAATTTAGAGCTGAAGGTCTGCAATTTTTGAAATAATTTCCCTTAACAGAATTTTGAAAGGCTTCATCAAGTAAAAACTAGCAACAGCATTGACAAAGGTCCACAGCCAAGCCCTTTTTCACCTTCAGATATCTTCCTGTATTGCCAGCAATGTTAAAGGAACACAGGCACACAACTGAGCACTGGATATTTTACCCTGAATTGATTTGCTGGAGAATGTTTTGAGAAGGTTTGGTGGGCTATGGGGAATAGCAGGATTAACTGAATGGTCATTGGCACAGGCACAATGGGTCAAGTAGCCTCCCCTTGTGCGACAGACATTTGATGAGATGAGAAGTTTCCCCAACTTGGCCACCTCGCTGTTAGAGAGTAACATTCTGACAATATAATAAAACGCTGTTGTCTGATATTTACTTAGGTTACTTATAGGTGCAGGATACCTTCAAATGTACAAACCAAACTCAGGAAGTGGTGGAATTTAGGTTAAATTGAGCTCACTGCCTTTACAGAGCTATCATCTCTCCCATGTACCTGACCAAATTGTTGTACACCAAGTGCCAAAAGCATAGAAAAAAAGGTGATATATTAAAGAATTCAAATCGTGGATATTTCTTCAGCCGGGGATGGCTAGGGGTTAAAACGCAGAACTGTCTGCTGCTACCATGCGTTTCATGAAGTCAGAAAATGCTTTGAAAATGAGGAATTTTAAAGTGAATGAGGAGAAAGGAAGGAAAATGGGATGGGGTTCACGGTGGAGAAAAACACCAGTGCAGACTGGCCAAATGGATACTTGTATAACAAGGTGTACAGCTGGATGAACACAGCAGGGCAAGCAGCATCAGAGGAGCAGGAAAGCTGACGTTTTGGGTCTGGACCCTTCTTCAGAAACTTTTCTGAAGAAGGGTCCAGACCCGAATGTCAGCTTTCCTGTTTCTCTGATGCTTCTTGGCCTGTTGTGTTCATCCAGCTCTACACCTTGTTATCTCAGATTCTCCAGCATCTGCAGTTCCTACTATCTCTGTAACAAATGGATACTTGGTGTGTTGGAACATCTGACGATTTGTATAGCTCTGCTTGGCACGCGATACTGTGCCCAGGAACACGCAAAGGTAGCACCACCGTCCAAAGGGGGCAATTCTCCTAGGACAGCTGAGACTCGTATCTTTTCCCTCAGTTTCGTTTCAGAGAGAGGAGAGAAACTCTGGTGATCTTGACATTTCTGTTGTGCTTCCTTTCCTCTGCGAAGATCCCCTGGCGATCCAGAGAGCCCTGGGGTGACAGAGACGCAGGCACGCTAACTTGGGCAATGGAAAGACTCTCTGCTCACCAGAAAGCATTGCCGGTGAAGTCATTTTGTGCAAAGGTATGACTCACTCTCGCCCATTTAATTACTGAGAGTGTTTCTCTCGTGTCTTTCGGTTTGAACGCCTTGTGCTTGTTTATTCAAGCCACCTGCGTCATTCTACCATCTCGTCGCCTCCCTTTATTCAAAATGACAGGCTTAAACTTCTGCTGCAAAACTGAGCTATTGTTCAGGAAGATCCCACTGGCGGAAAAGGATTGGTGCTGCATCCAGAGATGGGGTGTGGGAGACGCTGCGAGATTCCCTTCCAACCAAGGGTGAGCTTAAGCGACTTAAATAATACAAGACCCCGGCATCACTTTAATTTAAAAGCCAAAACGACTGCTGGAAATCGGAGAATACATCAGAAATTGCTGGAAAAGCTCAGCAGGTTTGACAGCACCTTGACTCTGATTTCTCTCCACAGATGCTGCCAGACCTGCACAACTTAAAATTCCTGGTTCTGTTAGCAGGTAGATGTACTCAACCCCACCTTATTCTTCCCTGTGCAAGCATAAATCTATTCGGATCGGTCAAGGCGCCTGTTGGAAATCGTGAAACGTGAGGGGAATTTACTTCCCTGTGAAATCGCTGGTCTCTGGATTTCAAAAATGAAATCTCCAGATAAATGGTGCAATGTGCACTGTCCATGTCTCGGCACTTCCAAGTATAAACCCCCTCAACTTTAGCATGGAATAAGTAGGCCTCCATTTATATGGCATTTTTTGATTAACCTTTTGATGCTTCCAGATAATTAAGTACTTTTGAAATGCAATCACTTGCTGTTATTACAGGAAAAGAAGTGCATGCTGAGCAAGGTCCTCGAGGAGTTTTTAAAAAAACAGGAAGAGTTTAGATACAGCAAATAAGGAGAACCTGTTTTCAGTGGCTGGAAAGTAAATAACCTAAAAGGTTCTGGTTTGATGATTGACGAAAGAAAGAGCGGACGGCATGATGAAAATGTCTCTTGTACAAACCGTATGGTTAGAATTTGAAAGGTACTGTCTGCGAGGGCGGTCGATACAGATTCTGTGATGGCCTTCAAAAAAAAAAGGTAACTGCACAAATTACGTATGGAAGAAAACAAAAATTGCAGGGACATGCCGAAAGAGTGAGAAGTGTGCAGAAATGACTGACTGTCAAAGGAACTGGTGTGGACTCCCATGTGTCAAATGGCTTCCTTCTGCTGTAGCTTTACTGTAATTCTGTGGCAACAAACAGATAACCTTTGGTTAAGGAATAGTTATTAGCCAGGACACCAGGGAGAACTCTGCTGGTTTTCAAGGTAGTGCCGTGGGATGTTTTACATTCCTCCAAGAAAACAGTGGCTCTGTTTAAGGTCTCATTTGAAAGTTGCTACCACTGACAGTGCAGCATGCTATACAAAATTTCAATCTGTAAATTGTTGTAAGAATGAAAATATCAACTGAGCCTCACTCGGAGGATGGATGGGGGAGAACAATACTGCATAGGGACAGGCCCTTCGGCCCTCCAGCCCTCCAAGTCTGAGCAAACACATTTTTGCCCTTCCATACTAAAACTGTCTTCACTTACAGGATCCATATCCCTCTAATCGCTTCCTATTCTTGCATTCGTCTAGATGCTTCCTGAATGCTGCTATTGCGTCTGCTTCCACTGCCCCCTCTGGCAACACGTTCCAACACTCATGACCCTCATATTGCTTATTTGGGGGATCCTGTTGTGCACAAATTGGTCCGACATCGCAAGTGACTAAATATCAAAGCACTTAATTGGCTGCAGAGTACACCGGGACATCCAGAGGTTGGGAAATGCAAATGCAAGCTTTCTTTCCTTTTGTTGACCTATCCAAAAGATCCTCTTGTAATACCCAACAGAATCAAAACTAATTTATCAACAACATAAACTTAACAGAGGTAGGACTGGCCCCCTCAATTACATTTACCAGGACTCGGCACAAGTTGGAGATGATTCTCTCAAATACACAATTATTTCAGCTGTTCAACTTCACTGCTACACATAGGTTAGAAACTTTGTTAGAAGCATGAAATACACTACACGTATACTGTAATTGTCACAATATCAGACGTCACCATAAGTTACAAAATTAAATTGAACCTCCAATGGCTTTCGACAGCTCCAGTCATTTCAAATGTTAATTGTGCCCTATTGTGATATCTGTAATGCACATTCTGTTATAAAGATAACTGCACCTCTTCCTACTTGTACTCTTCACTTCAGGCTCTTCCAGCTGATGACTACATCACTCAAAAGCACTTGAGGAAAAATGAAATCTGGTTCGGCTTTTGAGCCAGGATGAAACAGAACAAGTTCCAGTCATGATAGCTCATTCCTGCTTAACTCTGAAACAGCAGGATGCCCAATCAAGCCACACTCCACAGAGTTGAGCATGTCATCTAGCCTGATACTCCAATGCAGCACTGAGGGAGCTATTATCATGTGACCATTTTTGGGATCTTCCAGGTATAAATTAGCTGTCACATTTCCAACATTACAACAAGCAGACTTCAAAAATACATCATGGGTCACGAGGCACTTTGGGGTGTCCTTACTATATCCATTTCAGTTTGTGTTTTGAAAGCAACCACCCCCCTCCATTTTGTTAACTGCTGCCTGATTTCCAACACCACACCCTTTTCATTTGGTGGTCATTGGGATCAATTTATTGATCCTTAATCCCAAGCTCAGAAAACCAGTGCAGACCGCATGTACCACCACTCTAACCAAGATGAGTCAATTCAAGCAAGGTCAGAGCAGGGAAAAATAGGAAAGCAACATTAATGGCCCCTATGACAGTTATAACAGGTTTGATAGCACAAACAGAAATAAATAATTATATGATACCCATTACGGAGACATAGTTACAAAGTTACCTGAAGCCTCCAGGCTTTTATATTTAGTTGTGTAGTTCCATTAATAAAAGATGAGAACAATTCAGTAGTGAGAAATTATCTTTGCTCAGAGGATCAAGACATCAAAAATCAGTTTGAGTGGAGATAAGAAATAACAAAGGAAATAGCAAAACATGTACAATTTTAATCTTCATGTGGATTGGACAATAAAATTGCCAAGAGTAACCTGGAGTAACAGTATACTCAGAAAAGTTTCATAGAACAAGACTTTATGGAATCAACCAAGAAACAAGCTATTTTATACCTAGCAGTGTGGCACGAGACTGGTTTAATTAATTCCCTCACAATAAAGGATTCTCTAGTTACGAGTGATCATAACATAAAATTTCACACTCAGTTTGAGGGTGAGGAATTTGGGTCTGAGAAATTTAAACTAGTGTCTTAAACTCAAATAAAAGCATTTACAAGGGTTGATGCAGTTGATTAAGGTGGATTTGTAAAACAGATTAATAGTCAGGGCAGTAGATAAACAGTAATAGACATTTAAATATATACAAAAATATATTACATTGAGCAAGAAAGATGCTAGGAGAAGGGTGCACTCTCTGTGGCTAACTAAATAAATTATAGGCAATATAAAATTTAAACAAAAATGGTAGCATGCCACAATTAGTTAAATTGAACAGGCCTTGACCAGCCCTTGTGCCTTCGAACTGTTAACTTAGAGGCTAGGAGCCAAGATGTGGAACGAGATCTTTGCAGGAATGTGAACGATGGAATGATAGGGCTGTTTGTGCAGTAGGTGGCCTTGTGCTGCCTCAATGAGTGACCAATCACCCGCTCAATGAATGAGCATTGTTGTACAGCATCCCCTCCATAGCCAGCAGTCAGATCACTGGCCTGTTCAGTGGAAACTGAGCAGCCATCCTTCCAGAGATCCTGACTCCTACAGCTTCAGACATCACTGCAAGCTTACTAAAAAGATTCAGCATTTTAGGACTGTAAAACTAGTGTTTTAAACCAGAGAAAATTTGCACACTTGTTTAAAGATATGGAAAAAAAAACAATTGAGGAAGTGACGAAGATGATTGATTGAGGGCAAGGCAGTAGATGTTGTCTATATGGACTTTATTAAGGCCTTTGACAAGGTCCCTCATGGTAGGCTAGTCCAGAAGATCAAATCACATGGGAGCCATGGTGAGTTGGCAAATTGGATACAAGATTGGCTGGCCGTAGAAGATAGAGGGTAGTTGTGGAATAGTTTTTCTTCTGATTGGAGGTCTGAGACCTGTGGTGTTCCATAAGAATTAGGGCTGGGAGCTCTTGTGTTTGAATTATAGATATAAATGATTTGGATGAAAATGTCAGTAGTCTGATTAGTAAGCTTGCAGATGGTACGAAAATTGGTGGAGTTCTGGATTATGCAGAAGCATATCAGACGATGCAGTGGGATAAAGATCAGCTGGTAAACTGGTTGGAGAATTTAAACTGAACAAGAGTGAGGTGATGCAATTTGGGAGGTCAAATGCAAGAGGAAAGCATATAGTAAATGGCAGGACTCTTAGAAGCATTGATATACAGAGTGATCTTGGGGTGCAAGTCCATAGCTCCCTGAAAGTGGCAACACAAGTGGATTAGATGATCAAGAAGACATACTGCACTCTTGCTTTCAGTCGGTGCACTGAGTTTAAAGTTGGCAAGTCATGTTGCAGCTGTACAAGACTTAGGTCAGGCCACATTTGGAGTATTGTGTGCAGTTCTGGTCACCACACTATTGGAAGGATTTGGAGACTTTGGAGGGTGCAGAAGAGGTTGACCAGGATGTTGGCTGGATTGGAGTGTATTAGCTACAAGGAGAGGTGGGGCAAACTTGGATAGTTTTTGCTAGAGCGTTGGAGGCTGAGGGGCAACCCAATAGAATATATACAATTATAAGGGCATTGATAAGGTCAATAGTCAGAGTCTTTTTCCCAGGTTGGAAATGTCAAATACAAGAGTGCATAGATTTAAGGTGAGAGAGGGAACATTTAAAAAGATGTGCGAGGAAAGTTTTTTTTCTCCACAGACAGGGTATTAGGGGCCTGGGACACTTCCAGGCAGGTGGTAGAAACAGATACAATAGCAAAGTTTAAGAGGCATGTAGGCAGACGTGAACAGGTGCAGAATAGAAGGATATGGATCATGTGCAGGCAGATGGGATTGATTTAGAATGGGGGCACAGACATGCTGGGCCAAAGGGCCTGTTCCTATGCTGTACTGTTCTATATCCTACATTGATATTCCTAACAGAATATTCAAAGAAAGCCCCTATCTTCAACCCATTGCAACCTGAAAATGCTAACCTCTACTCACCATCTATTAAGTGACTAAATTACCTTTCTTTTCCAGTTGCAACTTTTATACACCGATTGCCAACTGTCTATTCGACTATCTGAGGCATCAATGCAATTCAAGTTGTTCTTGACAACTGCATGTATGCACTTCCCAGCTGAAGCCAATGGAATAGGTTCAGGAGTGAGAACAGTGCCCAATTTCTACCTCCCCTCCCACCTTCCCAAATTAGTTCAGTCACTCCAAGGCTCCTACGTAGCTCCCACCAGGCTGAGGGTTCACTGATTTGACACAGACACATCTGCATTATGTATTCAAGCTTCTGGTTCCATAGTATTAATTAGATTTGACTGTGTCGCACAGAAATAAACAATGAAAAATCTTCTTAAAGGACACTGCAAAGACACCCTTTAATTTCTTTTTAACGTCAGCACCAGACAAAAGCAGCAGGTAGCAACTGCTTGCCAAAGGCATCTCTAATCTAAGCGACAGGGCTTTGTGAGTAGGTGTCCCCAGGAGATAGGATTTGAAGGAATGGGGCAAACAGATTCTCACAATGAAGTGGACAGTTGCATCAAACATCTCTCATTTCAGTTCTGCTGGTGGGGATGGAAAAAGGGGAGCAGGAGAGATTAAACGTTAACAGGCCACCTCTAGAGATGTATTAAAGCAGTAAAACACCTTTTTGCAATTTCGGAGTTTCTCAGAAGACTGCACAGCTCATGAATTTTGTTTAAAGCATAGTCACTTTTATGTAATCAAACATGACAGCCAGTTTGTGCACAGTGAGATCCCAGGAACAACAAGTCACCAATTGGTCAATTCATCGTTTAATGACAGCTGGAGGAACACCAGCTAAAACACTGGTGGTGTTCCTTGTTCCTCTTCTAATAACGATGATCTATAGCATCCATCTCAACAAAAAAAAATCAGTTTTTTTTTGAAATGATATGTGTCTGACAATATTATACTTATCACCACTGCACTGAAATGTCAGGTTAGATGTACTGGAGGAGGGCTTGAACACACATCTTCCCGACTCAGGTGCACAGCATGCAACCACAGAACCAACAGGGAGACACACACAATCAAAAAAGACAGAAAAACGTTCCTAACCTCTCAGCCACTAGGTGACACTAAATGCAATTTACCATCTAACACTTTCACAGACTGCTAAAGACACCCGGTGGTAGTCAATGAAACTGCACCCTTGAAGAAATAAAAATCAGCGTGTTGCAATTGCCATTTATGATCAAGAAGGTCCAATATTTCCTCAACATGTTATTGCTGCGAGTGAGTGTGGGGCCACCTTCTTCAACTATATCTGCCGGCTTGATACTTTCTGTATCCCCCCCCGCTAATTCTGCTCTCCCGTGTCTCATATTCCTGACCACTCCGTCATTCAGTTACCCCCCTGCACATCTATAGGATTCTCCCAAATCCTCTGCGTTCACCGTCTCGGGCTTTTCAGAGACCAGCCCGGCCCTGCTAACACGTTGCGATGTTCGCCAGGCCTTTTTCAAGCGGGATGTGGTATCAAGTTAAAGGCCCTGGGTCCAGATAAAATTATTGAGAGTATTAAAAAAGGGACGGACGATAGAAGAACGGTGAATGGAAAAAAACATGTAGCAGCACAGTTCTGGGATTCCGTTCCCCCCCCCTCACAAACCCTGTATTGTATGTGAGAATGAATGATGAAACTTGCAGCGGGGAAACAAAAAGGAAACTATTTTCTGACAACCAGCGAGATGGCAGTTTGAACGCATTGAAATAGTTGCAAAGTGTGCTTTAGCAGATTGGTAACAGTGTGCGGATTAAGTAAACCCGGTGACAACATCGTTACATTTTAAAGGCTTAATAATTATTCCCTGGCAAGGAGATGGGAGTTTCTCCCTGCCTCTGAGTCTGACCAGCACCTACCGACATCTAATGAAATTAAAAGCCAGTTTCACCAGGTTGTCTGCACTTTAGCTCAGTGTCCAGGGATCCTTCAAACCCAAAGCCCGTGCGGGGGCTGGATCTGACAGAGAATAAACTGCAGCTTTTGCTAAAACAGAAACAGCGGAGTGCTGGAGTAACACAGAGCCGTTTTCAAGAAGGCTCACTGGACCCGAAATGTTAACTCTGATTTCTCCACGCACATGCTGCCAAACCTGCTGAGCTTTTCCAGCAACGTCTGTTTTTGTTTCTGATTTACTACATCCGCCGTTCTTTCGATTTTATTCAAAGGAGGGATACTGGACTCGAAATGTTATCTCTCTCCACAGATGCTGCCAGACCTGCGGAGTTTCCCCAGCCGTTTCTGTCCTTCCAAAAAAAAATTTCTTGCAGCATCCGCAGTTCTTTGTGCGTTTTTTGAGAGAATTCTGCCCTCGGGCGACAAGTCTTTCTGGTCAGTAATGGAAAATTCCCTCCCAATTTCCCCATCACCTCCCTCCAACCTCACTGTTACACCTACACCTCACCCACCCCGGCTCTCCACCAGACCTCCACCTCATGAGATTCTGACACCCTCAGAAACATCCAGAAGCAATCTGTTTCTAAGTCAGGAAGCTGCAGAATGGGAAGACAGCCCCTCTCTCTGTCTCCCACTTCACCCCTCCAGATACAAGTTCTTCCCTCCCACACTCTCCTTCCTTTCTGCCTTCTCTTTTAGAGATGCTGGTTCCTTTGTGGAGTGTGATGCCACAAGTAGCCAGCACCCTCTGGTACAATGGGCAGTGGGAAGCTGTTTTCTTTCCGACCAACATCCTGGCACAATTGCCTCCTTCTGCCTGCATTCAAAGGCAGCCCACAGCCTCCATCCCAGAGTGCCAGCACCAAGCACTTCAAAAATCCAACAGTTAAAACAGCATCAGAAACAGCCAACAAAAGGTAGGAAGCAGCATTCAAACCTGAGGGCTTTCCCAGCCTGCAGCAGTAGAGTTGTTGCTAGGTTCAGGTGTAGAATAGAATAGATTATACTTTATTGCCATTTGTACTCCAGTACAGAAGTGCAAGAGTACAGTGAAAAGTTTTTAAAATGGCTGCCTTTTAATGGCACCATTTTAAGCACTTAGGTACGAATCTTACAGGCTAAAACAAAAGTAGTGTTGCTATACAAAAGTGGATTAAAAGGAATGCATAACCATTACTTACAGTGTCCGAGAATGAGTTAGGAATGAGGTAGATATAACATTGTGAAAAGGATTTACATTACAGTCCGGTAAAGAATTCCAAACTACAGCAGCTCAGCACATGGCGCAGGCCCAAGTCCAGCAAATTGTCCCTCATCATTCTAGCCCTCAGACCGCTCCTCACTGGCACTCAGCAGCAATAAGATGTCACATTTTACCTGGATTCGCTTCACCTCATGCCTGAGATAGGTTTATAGAGCAGCACTCGGTTTGTGGGGAAAAAAGGAAATGCTTGCATTTACATAGCACCTTTCCCCAATCTCAGGACTTGTTTCACAGCCAATTAAAGACTTTTTGAAACGTCACCAGTGTTCAGTGTCAGTGAATTTGAACACAGCAAGCTCGCACAAGCAAAGACCAGAGAGTGTGTTCTTTTTTGGAATAAGTATTGGCCAACACACTGGGGAAAAACAGCTCGGTCTTCTACTAGTGATGCAGTGGGATATTTTACATTTTGGTCTCTCATTCAGAGAAGATTAATAAAGCAGCATTGGACCCTGTGGTATATTGATCCCTTTGCCCATTTCTAGGCATGGCCAGTTTTCTGCAGCACCCCTCGCGGCAAGTAGAGGTACAACTGTGGTTGAGAAGTGCAGTTTTCAGGATTTGGTACATGGCCATTGACTGGCACGCTGTTTAATTGGGCACTACCATCAGGCGTAGCATGGCACTGGAGAACTCACCAGGTCTAGAACCAGAGAGTGGCAGACAATGACAAAGAATGATGGTGCAGCCAGAAGTCTTTTTAAAAAATGGGGCTTGTGCCACTCCAATCTGAAGTGGGCCTGATGCCCAGAGGGGGCACACCTCGCCACTGATGGGAATGGAATATTGATGTCAATAACGCTGGCCTTAGTGGATGAAGAGCCAACCTTTCCAAGGTTGCCTTCAGTGCCCCTTCCAAAGTAAAAATGTCCACTCGGCACAACATCTGCCCGACACCAACATCTGGAGAATGAACAAGTATCAGCCTGGCATTGCAGGGGTTTCACAATTTTACCACACGCAGTTGCGCCCGCTACACTGAACAGCAAGGAGACACAGGGCTGGAATGAAAAATCTATTCCACTAACAAACAATTAAAATAATTAGTAACTTTACCCCCTAGGAAAAGCACAGTGAGACACACCACCAGATCAATTGCTGTTATCAGAAATTATTGCTTAGCAAAGCTCGTGACTGTCACTAATATATTGAAACACTCCTTACTCCCTGCACAGCACAAGTCAATGTTAAATCTCCAGGAACAGCTACTAATAAGCTCCTTGCATCAAAAGATTTTTTTTGCAGGTGAAGTCCAGGCATAAATTGCATTGTGGTTCTCTCTGTTTGTCAGTTGGGGTGGAGTTGAAAGCCAAGGGTCCCTCATAGGCGCCTCTGAATTTCTGACAATACTTGTTCTTGAATACTGCAAAGGTTAAGCAGAAGTTAACCAAGGGGAAGAAAAGTCAGGACATCAAGGGTTAATCGTATGTCTGTTCAAACTAACTAATCTCATCCAGACCAAGCGAGGGGGAAGAGGGGAGGCAGTAGGGGTTGAAATAAGAAGAATATTGAAGTCACTGGAAGGATATTACAATAACGAATGCTCAACCTTCGTTTATTTCCATGGCTCTAAAACTTGAGGGGCAGAAGAGGAAAAATCAATTTTAATCAAATTCCTCCAATAATTTGCAGACATTAACATTAAAACATCTTTGAGGAAAAGAGATTTCAATCTTCATTGCAAAGAGTCATTATTGATAAACCTTTGTTATTGCATATTAATCCTGGCATACATGATGAAAACAAACACGTCCGTTTAAGTGATGTTTATTCCACTACATATCTTTGCCCAGTGAAGGCAAGCCAAGACATTGATCTCCCGTACAAAGAGGTCAATGAAAGCGTTTTTCAAGTCCATTTTTGCCCCGATACAAACTAAATACAATAAAACACAAGAGAAAGCTCAGTTGCGACAGAACGGATCTAATAACATCCCATCTCTTCTCTCTAAGACAATTCCCCTCGAGCCAAAAGTAAAAGGAAGCTATCACTTGCAATGTACATTGAGCCAGCAATCCATGTGTATACCCGATCTGTATCAATCCCTTCTTTAAATATGAAGCTTGGCGAGTTGCACACAGTCTGGTTAATGCTTCAGCTGTCACGTCCAGCACTAAGCAATTTTTACCAAGCATAATGTTTTAACAGTGAGGGGTACACCGAGTTTGACATGCTCTTCAAAATAAAAGCCAATTTCAGACATGTCCCTCTCCCAGAGAGGGATTGCCATTCTCCATTCATGTCTCATTTCCTGCCCTCCGATCCCCACTATGTAATTAAAAAAAAATATTCCATCCATTTGTAACATGCATCCTGCAGAATCCGTCAATAGCTAACGAGGGAACATAAAGATAACTTACAGACTGAAGGCTCCCTGTCCATTCTTATATCTAAAATATTTACGCGTCATTGAGAAAGCAATGGGGCATTGCAAAGTAAACGTTAACAAACAGATCAATAGTTTCCAAATATTTAATCAAAATCAACCCAGCACGGAACACGTAAACATTTTATCAGCGTTGACCAATCTAGTGAAAGGAGTGGAAAACCTTTGATTCTTTCTATAAAATCTTTAAGGGGAATATTCAGAAACACCATTGTCTTCCCACCTCCCATTCACCAATACCACTTTTCTCCTACTCACAAATAGTATCGTTCCTTTCCCTTTCTACAACCTCCCAGTCCATCTGTGAAGTACCTCTTATCCCATACGTAGTTCTGAGCGCACCTTCCAAACCCAACAGCCCGCTCCTGGCTTCATTCTTTCCACTCCTACCTACTCAGATGCGGAGACCATTGCATCCTTGCCCATTTAAACCCCCTCACTCACACCCTGCTAGTTGCTGCTCCCTTCTCTCTCCATTCCCCCCCCCCCCCCCCTCACACACACGGGGAACCTCTACATCTGCCTAGTGTAACACCTCTGGAGCGCTGTAGGACAAATTGTTACCCGCACATCCTATTCACTCCGCAAGAAATTTTCCCGTTCGAAAAAGACAGAAGTAAACCAGCAAAAGCTCCTTGCTTTGGTAGAATGCCTGACTCGAGTGGAACATTTCCAGATCAGGGCAATGCAGTCTCCTCTCCCACTCGCTGCAACACACACACACACAGAAAAGCCTTGCAAGAAATCAAATGCAGGGGGAGAAAAAAAAACCCGCCACAGCAGGAATACAAAGGAATTTAAATCCCTTCCTTCACAAGTCCCCATACAGTCAATGCAGTGCAAATGTGAGAGAAAGAGGAGAATCAAGCACTTACCTGATGAAATTTTGCTGCTTTTTCCTTTACATTTTTCTGGTGAATAATCCCTTTTTTTGTCAGTGCAGTGTAATCCCAGTGTGAGTGTATCTGTCTGTGTCTCTGTGTGTGTGTGTTAGTGTCAGTGCTGCTTGCTGCTAGCTCTCAGTCTCTTTCTCTCTCTCCACTGTCAGCTGGAGCAAGCACCAAGGGGGTGATGTCATTCGGAGCCCTGGCGTCATGACGTCACGCCAGCCCGCGTCCCCTGACGTCAGTGCGCCGCAGCACGTGACAAGGGGCTTCTTGTCCCTCTTAAAGTGTCAATCTCCTCCCCTCTCTCTTAAAGGAGGCTCCTGGAGGGAATTGGTTCTGGTGCAAATTAACACAGGCCCTTCACCTTTTCAAGACCATTTAGCTTCTTGGGATGGATGGATGGATGGATGGATGGATGAATGAATTAGCTTTATTGTTGGTGTTTAGTTCTTTGTGAAAATCAAATGGATTGTAAAACTTTTCAGTTCAACCTCTATCCTATTGTTAGTGTTGTATAAGGCACAGCTTTTCAATGTATTAAGAACATATCTCCAGGAATGTGTAGATTAGGTGGGTTTGGGGAATGGGTCTGGGTGGGATGCTCGGGGTCAGTGTGGACTTTTTGGGCTGAAGAGCCTGTTTCCACGCTGTAGGGATTCTATGGATGTCTGTGGATATATATTGATGCAAAATGAAGGTGCAACTTTAATTAATATACAGTTTATTTATAAGTTACAGCCTTTCAATGTACTAAGAACATATCACTAGGTAAATATCTTTATATAAAATTAAGGTACCACGTTAATTAACATACAGTTCATTGAAAATCTGTAATTTATAAATGAACTGTATGCTAATTAAAATGGTACCTTTAATTTTAGATAAAGATATTGACCTAGAGATATGTTTTAACACATTGAAAATCTGTAACTTTTAAATGTGTTAAAACATATCTCTAGGTCAACATCTTTATCTAAAATTAAGGTACGACTTTATTTAAGGTACAGTTTATTTATAAGGTACAGCTTTTCTGTGTATTAAATACATACCCGTGTGTCCATCTCTTATAAAATTACAGTATATCTTTAATTAAGGTGTCTTCCAGTGCATTAAATACAAATGATCTCTGTGCAGAAGTACCTTCATATCATGACTCTCAAATGAATAACTTTTATTTGTATGGCACCTCTCACACAATTCAATTTTTCCAAGATTCTTTACAGGGAGCAAGGCTCTAGTGATGCAATGGTAATGTCCCTACCTCTGAGGCAGACAACCTGGGTTCAAATTCCACCTGCTCAGAGGTGTGTCATAACATGCCTGATTAAAAATGTGTACTTTGCAGTAAATCCGGTGGACCACCGGCAGAAAGTGAATTGCAGAAGGCTGAAGGCACACATGTAGTCGAAAAGTTGCTTCCGTCGAAGTACCCTTCCCTCCAATTTAGGAAGTTTGAGTTTAACTTGCATCCCATAGTTTATGGAGTACATAATTCAGGCTGATACTTCACAGCATTGACATCCAAATTTGATAGGCTGCATTCTGTTGATATCGCTAGTAAGGACAATATTTGTTGCCCCTTCTTAATTGCCCTTAGACTGAGAGGCTTACGAAACTATTTCAAATGGCAGCTGAAAGTCAACTACATTGCTGTAGGCCTGGAGACATATATAGGCCAGACTGGCTAAGATTGGCAGATTTCCATTTCTGACAGACATTAGTGAACCAGATGCAAAATAATGACAATCAATGTGAGTTTTGTGGTCATCATCTTCACTGAACTAGTAGTCCAGAACCTTAGGCTGATGCTCTAGGGACATAGGTTCAAACACCACCATAGCAGATGACAGAATTTGAATTCAATGCAATCTGAATTTCAAAATAAAGTTGGCCTACCATAATCTATTTTCATTTAAATTAAATGTGATTTGCTAATATCCTTTAGAAAAAGAAATCTGCCATGCTTCGCCTGGTTTACATGTGACTCCACAACAATCCTACAACCAGGAATGTGCAATACATTCTGGCCTAGCTAACAATGCCCACATCCCATGAATGATTAAAAAAAAATTCCAAATTTTATCAATTATATTTTTAAGTTTTACCAGCTGATGGAATTTGAACCTGGGTCATTATCCAGGACCTCTGCATGACTACTCCATTGACATTACCACCAGGCCAGTGTCTCTCTCAAAATATTGTTTTCTGCTATTTCTCCATCTAACACATTATGTCACAGACACAGTGGGCTGAATGGCCTCATTCTGTGCAGGAATCCTTCTATAATTTTGACGATTAAAAACAAATTATCTGATTACTGTTTCTGGGACCTTGGTGTGCATAAATGACTGCTGTGTTTCTTGCATAACAACAGTGACTAATGCACTACAAAAAGTACTTCATTAGCTGCAAATTGCTTTGGAAGGTTCTGTGGAAATGAATTGTGTAAAATTTTACAGCAATGTATTTTTTTCCTCTTTGAAGGTGATGGCAGTACTGAAGGTCCAAAATTTTGGTGGGAATTGACCAGAAGAGTTCAGGCTCTGTGTTGAAATGGAGTTTTGGGATCACTGCAAAGTAAGCTGAACAAAAGTGAGAACGACTTTTAAAATAGATTGTAAATTATTTGAAGGACCAGAAGAAGCAAGAACATTATACAGTGTATGCAATGGTCTGAGTGGAATATTGTACAGCTTGAACATGTCTTCCTCTGCTGTTGATACAACGTAGAACAATACAGCACAGGAACGGACCTTTCGGCCCATGATGTGTCAAACATGATGCCAAATTAAACTAATTCCTTCTGGCTGCCCTTGGTCCGTATCCCTCTATTCTGCTACAAAACATGCTAGACAAAATATTACAGTGGGCAGAAAAATGCCAACTAAGACTTGATTAAGATGAAAGTAGAGACAGACAACACAGAAAGAACTAAATGTGTCATATATTAACTCATGAATAATACTAAAATAACTGGATATGATCTTGAAACAGAAGTTTTTAATGGAGTCTCAGCTTCAACATACAGTCAGTATTGGGCACCACGTGATAGTAAGTAACATGTTTTATTGACTGTCTAAAGATAAACATTATAGGAAGGATGTGGAGGCTTTGGACAGGGTATAGAAGAAGTTACCAGGATGCTGCGTGGATTAGAGAGATTTATTATAAGGAGAAGCTAGAAAATCTAGGATTGTTTTCCCTGGAGCAATGGAGGCTGAGAGGAGACTTGGTAGAAGCCTATAAAATTATGAGATGCATTGGGTTGACAGTCAGAATCTTTTTCCCAGAGTTGAAACATCTAATACAAGGGACCATACATTTTAAGGTGAGATGGGGAAAGTTCAAAGGAGAAATGAGGGGCACAGACGGTGGTAGGTGTCTGGAACCCATTGGTAGGGGTGGTGGTGGAGGCAGAAATGATAGAAGTGTTTAAGGGGCTTTTAGATAAGCACACGAATATGCAAGGAATGGAGGGATATGGACCAAGGGCAGCCAGATGCAATTAGTTTAATTTGGCATCAGGTTCGACACTACATCATAGGCCAAAGGGCCCGTTCCTGTACTGTATTGTTCCATGATGTATAAACAGCGGAGGAAGACGTTCAAACTGTACGATATTCCACTTGGACTGTTACGTACACTGTATAATGTTCCAGTCATTCCAGGCCTTTTGTAACTGTTCGGTCACAAGACAGGAGCAGATATTCAAAAAGTGATTGAAAGGAATAAATACAGAAGTTGCTGGAAAAGACTGAAGAAGGGTCATTGGACCTGACACATTAACTGTTTTCTGCCCACAAATACTGCCAGATCTGGTGAGTTTTTCCAGCAACTTCTGTTTTTGTTTCTGATTTCCAGCATCTGTAGTTCTTTTGGTTTTTCGAAAGCTCCATGAATAACCTGACTGTTAGAGGGTGGAGATACGTTGAATGACCAGAGGAACTTGTGTTTTTTATAACAGTGAAATAAACCATTAAGAATTGAGAGGTGACTTTATAGGAAAATGTAAGATTCCTCCAAGAGAGTTAAATCTGGAATTAGCATGTAAAAATTCATTCACAGGATGTGGGCTGTTGCTGGCCAGGCAGCATTTATTGCCAATTGCTGGTTGCTCAGAGGGCAGTTAAGAGTCAACCACATTGCTATGGATCTGGCGTCACATGTAGGCCGGAACATTAAAGATGGCAGTTTCCTTCCCTAAAGGACATTAGTGAACCAGATGGGTATTTCCCCCAACAATTGACAATGGATTCATGGTCATCATTAGAATCTTAATTGCAGATTTTAAAAAATTGGATTCAAATTCCACCATCTGTCATGGTGGGATTTGAACCCAGGTCCCAGCCTATTACCTTGGTTTCTAGGCCGTCACCTCCCCTACGGTAAAGGTGCTACAGATTCAAAAGAGTAAACGTTAAATTTGGCACAGGTGTGATAAAATAATTTCTTCACAGAAAGTCATGGAACATATTCCCAAATCAGTGGTGTTAAAACCCCCAAAACCATTTGGTTGCCGTGATGACGGGAGTGAGAGTAAGAGACCTTCTGCATACATCAATTGTCTTTCCTTCTTGGGATCTGTCTTGTGAAGACAAGATTAAAATTTGAAAAGTGTATCTGCTGGGGTGCAGGCACAAAGCCAGTGGGTGATGATGCCTGTGTGGGGCTGCCTATGAGATTATAGGGCCCAGAGCTAGGCCATGTGCTATGTACAACTCAAATCCAGTAAGAACTTTGGAAAAATAGAGCCTAAAGATGAAAAAATCATGAATGACAGTCAAATGGATAGCAAGGATGAACTACAGACAAGTGTAGAATATGTGCAGCTGTAATCCAGTTGACAACGTTAGATCTTCAGACCTGAATGCCTTTTAAAGCAGCCCTTTATTTGTTTTAATCAGGACGCTGGCGAGCTGCTTTGTGACAAGGTCAAGGTCCATCTCGGAAAAAAGGAAAAATTGAATGTCTCCAATCTCACAAGGAACATATGTTCAGTCACAAACAATCAGCTGGTGGCAGATTGGAGAATGGGAGCTGTTGGGAATTGCTGGCTGTGTGGAGGAAAGTAATGTGAACCAATTAAAGCGACAATATCTTTATTCAGAGGTTCTTGGCAAACACTCAACATGTTGGTGTGGCTTCCATGGAAACTTGTTGTTGCATTACAAAAATGTGTTACTAGCACATGACATGTAACCCGTCTCTTCCCAGTAACAAAGACAGTGTCCCTTTAAGGGATTTCAAAAGCACATTGAAGTCAATAATAGAGGTTGAAATTGCACTGAGGGTCAAACCATGAACTGATGACATGTTGGGGAAGTGAGCAGGTATAAAAATACTTGAGCAAAGTCCCCCTGATCACACAGTCATGTATTTGGGGATCTATTGCATTGATTAAGAGCACAAACAGAAACTACAAGGTGGGACCTTGTCTGCCATCTGCTGACCTGGTAAGAGACTCACGTTGCCTCCTGTTTGGAAGGTGCGCTGAGCCACTAGGCAGTCGAGCTTGGGGAGGACACTGGTGGACCAGCCCCAGGCAAAAGTCTTGCCTCCTGAGAACTGCTGGCCAATCAATGGCCAGTCACTCTTGTGCTCAGCAGCTCCACCAGGAGGCGGTGGCTGCTATAGGCAAAACACCTATTGGAGCTCCAGGATCACACCACAAGTAAATGATGATGGGAGAGGGGGAGAGGTAGTTTTGCGACAGGTTCATATTTACTGGAAGAGTGGTGAAGGGGGTTTTTGGTGACAAGGTCAGGGGTGACATCTTTCGGCAGCTCAAAATTCCACTTCTCTGAATTCTTTTGATCAAGGCTCCCACGGATATGACAAAGTCTTAGCTGCCCTACATAGGGCAGCAGGTCTCAATGGAATGAGACCTTTAGGTGGCCATTAATTGGCCACTAATTGCCAATGGAACTCCATGTCCAGAACTTTATTGCATTGGAGGAAGGAAGGTGGCAGGCTTTGGGTACATCACCAATTCATCCACCTTCCTGCCTCCAAGCTCACGACCAATGAGCACAGAAGATTTCACCCTGAGTATCTCATGCTAGCTTCAAAGAGGCATTAAAGTTGTGTTTTCTATAAAATGGTTTTTGTTAAAATAGGGAAGGGGCTGGAATTTGAGTTATCAAACTGTCCCATCACCTCTGGAACTTGGGTATGAATCTAGCCCAGGGTGATGGATGAACATCTCCCCTCTGCCAACTTTGAGAGTCTGATGTTAAATGAGTCAACCACTGGGCATGAGTCCACGGCTCAAAAGCATCACTAATTTGGCAGTCTCATTTTGAGAAGCCATGTGAGTATGTAAGGTGATTATCACCCAGTGTCCTCTTTGACCTGATGAATCAGTCCTTTTTTTAACAGCACTTGGAAAAATTACTTGGTAGCAAAGGAACAGATTGGATTTTGTATGAGAATCTTCATTATCCATCACCAAAAGTGGCTCAGTGGAACTAATAATGATTATGCTGGCTGACGCCTGAAGGACTTATCTGCCAAACTGGTGAGTGGATAGTGAGAGAACCAACACATGGGGAAAAAAACCATTTGACCTTGTCCTCCCTAGTCTAACTGTGGCAGATGCCTCTGTCCATGATATATGTAGATCCAGCAGCTCAAGCAGGACTTGTATTAGACACTTGTGTCATGTCTTATGGTGACTGGCTTGGTGGTGTTCCTATGACTCTGCTGTCCTTGTCCTTTTAGAAGGAATTAGTCATAGTTTTAGAAGGTGATGTTGAGGAGGGTTGGTGAATTTCTGTAGTGCATCTTGTAGATGGTATACACTGCTGTTACTGTGCATCAGTGTTTGAGGGAGTGGGTGTTTGTGCATGTCAATTGAGTGGGTTGCTTTGGCCTGGATGGTGTCAAGCTTCTGGAGCATTGTTGGAGTTGCGTTCATCCAGGCAAGTGAGGAGTATTCCAATTCATTCCTGATTTGTGCCTTCTAGATGGTGGAGAGGCTTTGGGGAGTAGGGCTGTGAGTTACTCGCTGCTGGAATCCTTGATCTTGTAGTCACTGTATTTATGTGCCTAGTCTAGTTGAGTTTCTGGTCAATGGTAAGCCCCAGGATGTTGATAGTGGGGGATTCATGGTCGATAACACTGTTGAAGGTCAAGGAGTACTAGTTAGATTTTTGTTTGTTGAAGATGGTTACTGCCTGGCATTTATGTGGCATAAATTATTTACTACTTCTCAGCCCAAGCCTGGATATTGTCCAAGTCTTGGTGCATTTGGACCTGGATTGCTTCAGTATCTGAGGGGTTGCAAATGGTGCTGAACATTGTGCAATCATCAGCGAATATTCCCATTTCTGTCATTATGGCGGAGGGAAGGTCATTGATGAAGCAGCCGAAGGTTGTTGAGCTTCAGACACTAGCCTGAACAACTCCTGCAGAGATGTCCTGGAGCTGAGATAACTGACCTCCAACAACCACCACCATTTTCCTATGTGGTAGTTACGACTCCAACCAGCAGAGTTCCCCATCTGACACCCATTGATTCCAGTTTTGCTCGGGCTCCTTAATGCCACACAGTCAAATACAGCCTTGATGTCAAGGGCTGTCCCTCTCACTTCACCTCTGGAATTCAGCTCTTTTGTCCATGTTTGAACCAAGGCTGTAGTGAGATCAGGAGATGATTGGCTGTGATGGAACCCAAACTGAGCATCAGCGAGCAGACCTGCACTTATCCCTGGAACATCTGGACAACAAGGACACCTACGTCAGACTCCTGCTCATTGACTACAACTCTGCCTTCAACACCATTATCCCCTCCAGACCTTGGTCTCAGCTCTACCCTCTGCAACTGGAGCCTCAGCTTTCTGACCCATAGGCCGCAATTAGTGAAGATAGGCAACTGCACCTCTTCCACAATAACACTCAACACTGGAGTCTCCCAGGGATGCATGCTCAGCCCCCTACTGTACTCCCTGTACACCCATGACTGTGTTGCCAAATTCCAAACAAACGCCATCTACAAGTTTGCTGACAGCACCACCGTAGTCAGACAGATACCTAACAAAGATGAGTCAAAATACAGAAAGGAGATAGAGGCCTTGGTGATGTGGTGCAATGAGAACAACCTGTCTCTCAAAGTTGATAAAACTAAAGAACTGATCATTGACTTCAGAAAGAAAGGACAAGAACATACCCCCATCTACATCAACGGAACCGAGGTTGAGAGGGTGGAGAGCATCAAGTTCCTTGGAATGACGATAACCAATAACCTGTCCTGGACTTCCCATGTAGATGCGCTGATCAAGAAGGCACAACAATGCTTCTTCTTCATTAGGTGGCTCAGGAAATTTGACATGCCCATAAGGACCTTTACCAACTTCTACAGATGCACCATTGAAAGCATATTGTCTCGGTGCATAACAGCCTGGTATGGCAACTGCTCTGCCCAGGACTGTAAGAAACTGCAGAAGGTGATGTGCACAGCCCAGACCATCATGGAAGCCAACCTTCCATCCATGGACTCTAGTTACATGGCTAACTGCCGCGGAAAGGCTGCCAACAGCATCAAAGACCCATCACACCCTGATAATGCTCTTCTATAACCTCATCTGTCAGGCAGAAGATACAGAGGCCTGAACACATGCACCATCAGGCTGAGGAACAGCTTCTTCCTGACCATTATCAGACTGATGATTGGACTATCTAGCCTCAAATAATGCTGATCTTACCAATGTTGATCTTGCCTCGCACACGTCTTGTGCAATGTAAACTGTACACCTCTGTCTAAATCTTTTTACAACCTCTGATCTGTACATCCTTGCTTTTATAATCTGCCTGTACTGCTTGTAAACAAAGCTTTTCAGTGTACTTTGGTACACATGACAATAAATCAATCAATGTTGATGATACCTTCCATCGCTTTACTGATGATTGAGAGGAGACTGATGAGGCAGTAACTGGCTTGGTTAGTATTGTCTTCTTTTTGTTAGACTGGACTGACACCCTGGGTGATTTTCCACATTGTTGGGTAGATGCCAGAATTGTAGCTGCACTGGTTCAGGGTGGCTAAGGGTGTGGCGAGTTCTGGAGCGCAAGTCTTAAGTACTATTGCCGGAATGTTGTCAGGACCCATAGCGAAGTGAGTCAAATTGTCTGAAGACTGACAGCAATGTTCTGGGACCTCTGGAGAATGTTACCAGCTTACCAGGCTGTGGGTCAATTCCTTGTGTTTTAACTGAAAGTCCCAGGAGCATGTCGTCAATGTTGAATTTAGTGACCTTAGACAGAAAGTAGTCCACATGCTAAAAAATGGCTTCAGGACATTTGGCTACAGCTGGGAATGTTGAGTGGATGTAGATGAGATCAAACCTGCCTTTAAGGTCCTTCTCATTCAAACAGTTTACTTATATTCCATGTACGCAACCTTACACACTATTGCTATGAAATAATGATCCACATAGACTAAGTGTTATACAGTATAACCCCTGAAAACTGAAGCAGAAGTGTTACATGGCACAACTACCCAAGTATTGTAAAACAGCTCAACCTATGACTCACCAAAAGAGATGCCAGAAATAATCTGCTAATAATGTGAAAATGACATTTTCTTTAAAGTAATACAGACACAAAAGTGAAAGGGTATATTTTGGACTATATAGCGTAACGATCCTTATAAAACTGAGGCTGGGATTTTCCTGTTTGAAGTCGAAGAATGATAGTGAGTGAGTTTCAATGTGCATTATCCAGCATGTCCCAGGGCTGTTCACCCTCACAATCACACACTTCTTACCTCACTATTTACACAAGTAAGATACAGGTTATAGTCCAACAGGTTTATTTGAAATCACAAGCTTTCCAAGTGCTGCTCCTTCATCAGGTAAACACTTCACCTGATGGGGTGGGGATTGAGGTGGGTTGAGGTGTTGTGGGCAGACACCAAGCCCCTCACTCCTTGTGTTAAGTTGAGCAGGTCAGTAAAGTCCAGGACCACTGTCAGAGAGACAGC